ACATACTAACTAGTAATCTTGCAAGGCTGGACTTCAAGAGACAAATATCTCTACTTCAGAATTTCTGGCAAATTTCTGGCACAGCCTAAATTTACATACATTTCCCATTAAGTAGCAACTAGGAAATGACCATTAGTTTTCACGAAAACTTTAAGCATCACAACATCATTGTGGATGCTAAGATAACTGGAAAATGACATTTCTGAGGGATCATGTTAGTTTGAGAACAATGATTGGATCATCCTATTGCTCTGGTAGCACAGACCATCATTACTGGGGCCTAAACTGCAGAGAGAGGTATCAGATAGCACCGAAAGAGGTAAGAAAGGCACAGGAGAGAGCAGTATTAAGCTACAAAGCTGCAACATACACTCAGAACTGAAGTCTTTGGCTTTACTTCCAACTGTTTTCTCTTCTGTTTAATGAAAAGCCAGCCAATGAGTGCTTCCATCAGTTCTATAGCTCAATCAGTTTTGCATAGCTTATCAAATTTGCCCTCCAAAAATGTGAAGCTAAACTCCAAAATGCCACAGATTTTATAGAGTTAAGGTATCCATCTTGCCTCTTAAAATATTAAAAAATGGTCAACCTCAGCCGTGGGCTGGTTGGTTACAGGGACAGAAAAGGGGTGGTAGAAGTTGCATGTAGCATGTGGGATACCTGTTGGCATCTATTTCTGTAGTAAAATGGTCTTAGGAAGGAGAGAACCTCTGAAGTCTAACAATACTTGGGAGCCTGATAAGACCTGGAATTTAGATGTGAATGAAATGTGTATCTTCTTGTTCCATATGGCAATATTTTTTATTATGTTTGGATAAACTTGCCTATTATTTTTACAGTGGTGACCTGTAAAATATCATTTTCTAGTTATGATTTGCATCCACTATATTTAAATTAAGTATATATAGACATAATTAATTCCAGCTTTTCTACCAAACCTGTGATCATAATTTGAATACTAAAATTCAAATACATTTACTGAGCACTGGATGAACTAATTTAGTATTCTGAATTATACAAATCAAATGGCACACTTGCTAATATTTTGCTGACCTCATTAATTCACTCCATGAACCACAGAATCTCTAATTCAGTAAGAGTTAAAACCCCACAAATCTACTAGATCTACTTTTCTATCAAAGTTTTCTGTTGTTTATGATGACCTAAGATATGTTTTGCACATTAAAATAGGAGGCAAATAGCAGTACAAGAGTAACTAACACTTCTATCTTCAAGGGATGTTACCTGCCCTGATAATGGGATTATATTCAGATAAGATTTAGTTTAAAAAATTAAGAACTCACTTTTTCACATAACCAAAAATGTGAAAAAAAAAATCCAGGATACAGACTAAATAAGACAGAGCCTTGCACTGCTCTATATCATTTTTATATAACTTAACTACCTGCAAATAAGAAATTATGGGAGTATGCAGATAATCAGAAAATGCAAGCAAATGTGTTTCTCTTCTTTAAAAAACAATGTTTTGAATCCTTCTATTCTTTATAAATAAAAAGCTTTCAGTGCAAATATTTTAAACAATATAAAATGAGGATTATTTTCAGGTTTCTTATTGAGCATTTTAATTGAAAATGAAATAAATTGAAGTTCAATTAAGTTCAGTGCAAATATACCTGAAACGTTAAACATAAATAAATATATTTATATTATTGTAGAAATAATTGGGGTCATGAAATTATAGGCTTTTTGGACTGCAGTGACCTTTGGCTATAAGGAATAATGTTTTAAAGTAAAGGAAAAATATTAGAAATCTATCTGGTTAATGTCTGTACTTTCAATTACGTTCTAATGATTTACATGAGCTATAAATAGTCAGTATTTAGTCATAGTGGGAAAAATTGAGTCCACACTGAGCTGTGATGTGACCATGGTAAGGATACAATGTAATTATATAAAATGAAAATTCAAATATATGAATGCCTGTCTTATAACCACACATTTTGAACAATTGTTGCATTTGTTTTGAAATATGGTATTTATGAACGCAAGAATAAAAAGTACAAAAATGAATAGAAAGAATAAAAATTATTAGTGTCCTGAATAGAATTTTAACTGGGTAAAAATTAATTATTAGCAAGAATCTGATTAATTATACCTTCAATATGGATGGAAGGGGAAGGGATGAAGGAATTTAGGATTTTTCTGCGTATGACTATAGCTTTTCATTTGGTGAATAACCCTTCAAACCTTTGGATTTTATTTCCAAAACTGGAATTGTATCCATGCATAAATGCTACCTATCAACTAAATAAAAAGCTGTAATATTAGAAAAGAAACCTTAATAGAAACCAGAGCAAGAAATTTAAAAATCAGTAATATATCAGTAATATATTTTCATTAATGTGAAAAATCACCTTTTTAAGCCACTATATAATGAAAACTGCAGCATTTTTTTCATGAAGTGATAGATCAGCAAAACTGTAATTTTGTCAGAGTAACTGGTTTCCTTATATCTTAAAACTACACATTCAAATCTTGGTTTAGATAATTTGTCACTTGATCTATTTTTTACAAATCTTACTTATTTAGGCTCAAATACAAATGTTTAGAGGAGGACTGATGCAAGGGGCCTTTTTTTATATTCTCCTAAATAAACACATATTGCAGGTATAGCACCTGAAGACCTGTATGAGTGACAAGGATTTTCTGTATGGAATGAATTATTTTGAGGGCTATATTATTTTGGGTCAATGAGTGAAGATAATTTACACATTTTTTTCACCGAACAAATCTATTTTGCTTTGAGGCAATATTCATTTTCAATGAATAGCAAGCAACAAGTTCTACACTAAAACTATTTGAAAACAGGAGGGTTTTTTCTTGAAGAAGAATGCTTAATTTGAAAATTTTGTTTTTAATTGATTCTGTACTAAGATCTTCTACACTTCTTTTTCTTGTCAGTGCATGCCTATCTCAGGTCATAGAACTGCCCAATTTTTGACAACTAATTCAAACTATTGTTTCTATTATTGATAATCAATTTGTCTCTAAAATTCATCTGGCAAATCAGCCTTATAAAACCAAGTTATTGCTTAAACAGATCAAACTTAAATTATTGACTGATTTTCAGTAGTTATAAAAATGATTCTTTCTCATGATAATGTCGTATATATCCAGGTTCTGTCTTCTCCTATATTTTTATATATTATTTCTGATGAACTTATTACTTTTTTATTTTACTAATTGAATCTCCTGTTTGGAAGAAACTCCTATGCTAATAGGGATTATTAACTTAAAACTACGATTCCATATGTGCATCTCTTTAATTAATCAGTACAGTTATGTGGAACTAATTTACACTCAAATCTATAGAATTTTTTTCTGATTAAGTTGTTTATGCTCAAGAAATTATCCTTCTGGACTCATGATTAGGATGATACCTAAATAACATATGAGAATTTTCTCCCTTCTTTAATTTGTGTTCATATTAATTTTAACATGTTTAAACAATGATAGTTTTAAAAATTATGCACATTGTAGCAATTGTTAATCTAAAAATGTGTCCCTATTGCTTAAGTCATTTATAGATCACTGATCCATGCTTAGATGAAAATAAATCCCACAGGATGCAGCGGGGACTTTGGAATGGAACAATTTGCCACAGCCAATTCGTTGCGGCCAACTCACCATGGCCAACTTGCTATGGGACAACTTGCCGCAGGACAATTTAACAATTCAATTTAATCGAGTTGTCTGTGGCGAATTGTCATAGACCCATGGGACTTATTTCAGAATATACATGAATAAGGTTGTGCTATATAGCAGAAGTTGTGACTTACATTGCCAGAATTTAAATGTCAAAATAACAATGTTGAGCAAGGAGTGTATCACAAAACATTATTAAATCTAGCGTCCTGCCCCTGAACACATTATATAAAGTTATATAAGACTTTATATAAAGTTATTTCCATTGATTTCTACATAGAAATACAATCTCATAAGATTTAGTTGAAGCAAAGATAATTTAAAATTTACCTAAATGTTTTCTTCTTGACTCTCCATTTGCATATTATTTTCAGATAATTTTCATTTGAACTAGGAATTATGTACCATGATTAAGAGGAAATAAATTTCTTAATATAATAGTTATTAATCCAATGTAAGTAGGTACATAAAAAGTACTGTTTAAGGTAATTTTCAAAAATCTGCTAAAAACGGATGTCTTACCCTATTTTGTGAAGTAGATATTGCAAAGCGTGGCCCGTATCTTTAATGTTTTTAAAGATGAAAGAGGGAAGATTATTTGTACTTTTATAAGAAAAAAGAAGGTTTAGCATTTAAGTAAGAGATTTGATCTATATTTCAAGCAGGATAAAAGATCTTACAAAACCAATCTCTGCAAGCAATTCTTTAAATAAATGTCCTTTTTTCTAGGTATTTCCAGAAACTATAGACAAAATGATATTTTATCATTCCAATGGTATAAATAGTGTTAAAATACTTCCTTCTAAAATCAATTCATTTAAACTTTAGATGGAACTCAAAAGTCTTAGAAAATAATCTGACTTCCGAACAGCTATTCATGTGACACTACAATATGGACAGAATATGGTGGAAGATATCACATATATTATCACTCAATTTCAAGGTGCTATTTTCAAAGTAATAAAAGCATAAAGGATACAACAGAAAATATGGTGACACATATTTTTCTTATAGAACCACCTCATCTTTACCCTTTTATATGAAAGTAGGACATCTAACCTTAACAGTCTTTATTAATAATAAGGTATGAATGTGTGTGTATACACACATTCAGTTACATAACTGAGCAGATATTAGTGGCAGTGTATGCAAAAAAAGAGAAGAAAATTATGTTTAAAAAGTTACAATTTTCCTTCCGTTTTTGTACAGAAATACTGTTTGTGTGTGTGTGTGTGTGTGTGTGTGTGTGTGTATATATATGTGTATATATATATATATATATATATATATATATATATATATATATATATATATATATATAATTCTACCTGGTAAACACTTCTTTCCCCTTAAAAAAACTGAATAAAAAAAATCTTGAGAACGCTTTTTAGTCTTTTTCTCCATTTGTCTTTACTTTATCTGTCTCATCATGGATAGGGTTGACGCAACCTTTTTTATTTTATCTCTAAAATTTTTAGAAAGTAATCCTTTCCTTATACCTTGATTAGGAGGTGAAAAAGACTCTTGATCTTTTGTTTTTGCTATTTCTCTTTGACATTTTCAAAGTCCCCACTCTGTGTCATCCCTCCTCAATCTTGCCGCTTCCAGATTGGTTGTATTTGCAGTTCCCATCTAGAAACCTGGGAGTTGCAGACCTGGAGAGTGCCAGACTGGCCAAGTTTGCCCTAAGCTCAGCAAAGACAACATGTAATTGCAGGAAAGCTACCTTTGTTCACCTCATTCTTACTTATTGTTCCTAAGTCCGATGAAAGATAGTATTAGTGTTAGTGGGGGAGAAAGAAGTTGGGTTATAAATCTGAATGTGTGGAATGGAACCAAATCCACAAGAGGAATCTATTATTCTCCTTCCCCATCCTGCAGGGACTCCACACTATCCAACCCAAACTCCCTTGCCATTTTCCACAGCCCTTTTATGATAGCAAGGCTAATGGTGGAAACCAATAGGGCCCATTGTGTGTGTGTTGCTGATCAATTTTTATGTTTCTATTCCACAGTTTTAACTGGATATGGTGAAGTCCAAAGCGGTCAGAATTGTAAATCTGTCCATTGAAACACTGCAAGCGGTGTACTTACGACAGTAGGCCTTGTAGATTTCATAACACATTTCTCTTTGTTGTTGTTTTTGTAGTGCTCTTCATAAGTGACAATTTTTTTAAGGTTTTTTTTTTTTGTAGTAAAGAAGGGTTGTATTTAGAGGCCAGTAGCTAGAGATCCAACCAGTAGATCTCTTGAACACTATCTGGCCTTAAGGCCACCATCAAAGGAAGGCTGAGATAATTACTATTCATCCAGCTTCCAGAAATGTAATGTACCAGCAGGCAAAAAACAGTTCATCATGTAGTACAAAAATGAAAATAAACAAACTAAAAATGAAAAATGAAAAAAAAAATCTAGTGCCATAGCTTTTCGTTGTTTCTCTATTTGGGCTTTGTTGTTGTTCATAACAGAATAGATATTATTTACCCATCTGAAACATGCAGCCTCATGTGGTCGTTGAAATGCTCAATTTGGTCAAACTTAGCTGGGCAGACAGAGCAAACGTAGGTCGTTCCTTCTGTGCAGGCCATCCCTCCAGCTGGAAGTGCCCTTGCCCCAGTGCTTGTTGTGCTAGACGTTCCGTTTGTGGCACTATGTAGAGCCACATGTCTTTCAAGCAGGGTCTTGTGTGAAAACTTTTTCTTGCAAATGTAGCATTCATAAGATTTCTCCCCACGGTGGAGCCGCATATGCACATTTAGGGAACTCTTCTGCGTAAAACGCTTATTACAGATACTGCATTGGTAGGCTCTGACACCAGTGTGAGTCACCATGTGTTTGATTAGGTAATCTTTTAGGGAGAAGGATCGCCAACAAATGCTGCATTGGTGGGGCTTCTCACCTGTACAATGATCACAAATGGAAACACAAAGAGAAAGAAAAATAACATTTAATTAGGAAAAAATGCCAATGAATTCTGCTATAATATATTTTTCCTGTTATGCGGTATATTGTTATTTATTTATCAATCAAATTTATATGGCTGCCCATCTCTGTTTGGAAAGTGAATTTGGGTGGCATACAACAATCCAGTAAAGCAATAGAAATATAAAACAGTCATTATCTAATAATTATTTTAGAAAGCATTAAAACTATAGAAAAATCCAGAATCAAAAATACTCATGAAGATGGATAGAGAGGGGAAGGAAGTGAGTTGTGTGAATGCAGAGGGGGCCACTGATAAGTAATCTATACTTGTGGTCAATCTATCTGATGGTTGTGGGGAAATGCCCTAGTCCAAAACTGACAGCACCACTATTCTGCCAAACTGGGCATCAACTCTTGTCTGGACATCAAGTAAGTAAAGTTTAACAAAGCCCAAGAGCATGGACCAAATAGCAGGCTGTCGAGATCAGGTAGTGATACCCAGGGCTTTTTTTGTCATAGAACGCCCAGAATGGAGTTCCGGCACCTTTTTTGGATGGAACCTTGTAAGGGTAGGCAAGGTGGGTTGTATGACATGTGTGAGTTCCGGCACCTTTTTTTTTTTTTTTACAAAAAAAGCACTGATGATACTCATTTATACAGCATTGTCCCTTCCTTTCTGACTGATACTACATGACATGGAACCATGCACTTGATTTGCCTTTCACTGCCACAATTATCATGGAAATCAAGTTAAGACTTTTTCACCTGTATATTTTTACTCTCCTAAGGGTGGGTGACGTCAAACCCAGATTTTGCCACAGGTTTTTATCTTATTTAACTTAGGGCCAGATTTACATGAAAGAAGGTTTATTTCCTCTGGTGTTGGCCAGCCACTTTGATCCAACATGTTGTGCTCCAGATTTCTTCAATTAAACACTGTCATCTACTAGAACCCCATAAGTGTGCCTTCTCTGTTGTGGTTCCTGGTCTCTGGAATATGGTTGCATCAGAGATTTAGGCATTTCAGAGGGACTTAAAGATCTGTCTCTTTGCCATATTTTGGACTAGGATGATCAGACCCCATTCTTAGTAAATGTTGCTAATAGGATTCACCATCTTATTTATTGTATGTATTATTGTTTGTTGTTTTGTTTTATGCTGTGAGCTGCCTAGAGTTGATTGCAGTTGGGTGATGTCAAGTAAGTAAATAAGTACGTAAGTGCCAATAAGATTATTGATTCATGTACATCAATGTGAATTGGGCTATTCATTGAAGAAGAAATATGCTAAACTGAGGGCAAAACACTTTCTATCCATAAGAATTGTTTTGTATGCTTTTGCATCCTCAGATGAAGAACAGACTAGGCATGCAAAATAGGGGATTTTAATGTCTCATGTTTAGATTTGGAAGAATACTTTTCTTCAGAACCTTATTTGTTGATCTTCATTTTGGAAGAAGTCTACAAATTCTTCTTCCAATGCTGAATCCACATACCTCTCTGGCAATTTTATATTGCCAATCTTATTATAAAGTTATGGAATTATTATTTTAGCCATGATATGCAATTTTGAGACCTTTATGCTTGAACTGAATTAAAATCTCTGCAATTTCTATTAATACCAACCCTTCTTTCCATCTCTTTTTCTTTCTTGATAAATTCAGGATAATTGGCCCATCCAACCTGACATCTTCCTAGATTTTTTTTTTTTTGCACAAGACAGATTAGAAAGAATAATTTTATAGTGTTGGAAAATAGGCATTCTGTAAGAACTTTTGAAAAATCAGGTTAATTTAATCCTGTTGAAAGAGCATGCTGCATTGCAATGAAATCTGAGAATTGTTATATAGTCTGTGGAGGCCTGGAATAGAAACCAACCGAGGGCAATAGCACTGTTGATTTGATGTGAAGATACAGCTCCATCAGAGCCCACTCACAGAAGGGCTCACCAGTACAAATGCCCATGCTTTGTTCTCTCCCTTGCAGACCAGGTCTGTGCATCTTGATTACAATTGTAAGCAAACACGAGAATAATAAAAAGAGACTATTAGTCTGTAGCTACATAACAAGAAAATACAGGGAAAGTTCCTATGGTGCATTTGCTAGAGTTATTGGAAATATAGCAAAGGTAAAGCAAATAATTGCTTCTGAATGCATGCAGTACAGAGACTTTTCTTGCCAAAGTCATCTCTGCTCTATTAGGTTCCTAAAAAAGCTTCAGTGCAGGCACAGAGTTCCTTATGTGTGATGCAAATAGTCCATGATGAAGAATATAGCAGTTCAGGATGCTGTCAGTAGTTGTTGAAAGGTTTGATATTCTTTTTTTCAGAATAAATATCACTTTCATCAGTATGAATGACACAGATCAATCTGACAGAAAAAAGGGAATGATGTGGTTTTCTACATATTCATCCTGCCTTGACACAAAATTCTTTAACCTTGTATATTGGTAAATTTTCACAATGAAGTATCAGAGTTAAACAGCTGTCAGCTTATGTCACACAATAAAAAGTTGACATTCATTGAATTGCTACTACTTCAAAATGAGAATAATGTCAATTCTTGTCACAACCAATGGATCAAACTCAGTTGACCTGAAAAAAGTGGACACTGCACTTCCAGGAAAACATTAGGAAGAAAAATAAAACTAAGGAATATATATCTAAAGTGAGAGCCAGTTTGGTGTAGTGGTTAAGGCATCGGGCTAGAAACCAGGAGACTGTAAGCTCTAGTTCTGACTTAGGTACAAAATCAACTGGGTGATCTTGGGCCACTCACTTTCTCTTAGTCCTAGGAAGGAGACAATGGAAAAACTACTCCTAAAAAACTTTGTCAAGAAAACTGCAGGGACTTATCGAGGCAGCATCTAAGAACTGGAAACTATTAAAAATTAAAAATAATGCGTTTTTAGATGATTAATAGTTTTTGAATTTTTATTTTAATTTTTAGAGGCAAAAGGATACTATAATTTGTGCTAAAAGAAGAAAAGAAATTGCAGAGAAGCTGAACACATTATTTCCTTTTATTGTCATATGGGAAAAGTTGAGACAGATTTCTGAGCTGCTGTTCCTGTGTCAGGGACAGTGATAAACTGAGCTATATAATAGTGACAAGGGAAGAAGCACTGGGCTTTATTGACAAATTGAACATAAAACAAATCACTTGATCCCAATGACACTCACCTAAGTACTACTAAGGAATTTGAATCTGGGACTGTGGATCTTTTAAGTAAAAAATGCAACCTGTCTCTACATTCAGCCTCTGTAGTTGATGACCCGGATAAAGGTAGTTCTTGACGTACGACCACAATGGAGCCCAAAATTTCCACTGCTAAGCAAGACAGTTGTTAAGTGAATTGTGCCCCATTTTACAAGCTTTTTTGTCATAGTTATTAAATGAATCACTGCAGTTAAGTGAATCATGCAATTGTTAAGCATATCTGTCTTCCCTCGTTGGTTTTGTCGGAAACCAACTAGAATAGTTACAAATGGTGATCACATGATCCAGGGACAATGTAACTATCATAAATGCTAGTTGTTAAGTGCTGAATTTTCATTAGATGGTCATGGGGATGCTGCAATGTTTCTAAGTGTGAAAACTAGTCATCCCTTTATTTAACCTGTTCCAGGTGAGATAAAATATGAAATATTTGAGACATAGTCCTTGCTTAAGATTACCCAATATGGTTTCACTAAGGGTAGGTCCCATTTAACAAAACTATTAGAGTTTTTTTCTCAGTGTAAATAATCTAATTACATGCAAACCTAATCTAATTACATTTTCAAAAAGCTTTTGATAAAGCGCCAGATCAAAGACTTGTCAGTAAGTTTTAAAGTCATGGAATAAAATGGCAAGTCTTCTTTTGTATAAACTATCGGTTAAAAATAGAAAACAAAGAACAGAACTAAGTGGACATTTTTTACAATAATGGAAGGATATAACCAGTAAGAGTGCCCCAGGATTCTGTTCTAGGACCAATGCTTTTTACCATATTTATAAATGATTTGAAATCAAATATGACTAGCTGAATAGCCAAGTTTGCTGATGGCACTAATAGTAAAAACTATAAAAGAGTAGTAAAAACTATAAAGCACTATAAAGAGCTCTAACAGGATCTCTGCTCATTAGGGAATTGGGCATCAAAACAACAAATACTCAACATGAGCCAGTAAAAATTATGAACATTGGCGCCAAAAAATCCTAAATATTCATACAAACTAATGGGACCTAAGTTAGCAGTGACTGATGAGGAAATAAATCTTGGGATAATGGCAAACAGTTCAATGAAGGTGTCGACATAGGCATCTGCTGTAAAAAAAAAAAAAAAAAAAAAGGCCAGCTGCATGTTAGGGATAATAAGAAAAACTATTCAAAATTGAGATACTAACTCCATAACAGTTTGCTTTCACAAACTCACAATAGGTGTTTTGATTTGAAATAGTGAAGACAAAACATTATACATCCTTAAATAACTGGTATCTTCTGTAAATCTGTCCAACTGAGAATAATTAGAAAGTATAAGTAAATGAAGTACAGTATAGCATAGGGAACTTTCTTGTGAACAGATTCCATATTTTAATTTTTTTGACCTCTCAGGATTGTAAGGAGATGGTTTGTGATGCCATGATATCACCAGAGTAAATACTGAAGGTGCTAATTTTGCCTACTAATTAGTCTAACTTACAGCCCTTTTGTAAGATTGGCCTCATTTTTGAGGACTGCATTCAAAATGAGGACACATTCAAAAACTAGACAGTTGGCGAAAGAATGAAATCACAAGTTCAAAGTGGAATTAAAAATTAAGTGGATATGTACAGATGAGAGAATATCAATTCAAAAATTAATAAAAATAACCGCTCTGTGACATGAAACTATGGGGTGGAACAGAGTTCTCCAACCTTTCTGGCTTTGAGGACTGGGGGGGGGGTAGAGGGAATGGCTCCGCACAAGCAGCAAGCAAGTGAGCATGCATATGCATAGCTCCATTTGTGCGAGCTGTGGGCACGCATGCTTGCCTGCCATTTCTGTGGCCCGGTTCCGAATGGCTCAAAGCCTGGTAGTGGGCCATGGCCTGGGGGTTGGAGACCCTTGATGTGGAAAGTTAATGTAATTTTAGGTAACTTTGGGAATCACTTTCAAAATCCAGAACAATGTTTTTTTCTGCAGTCCCCATAACCACCTTCCATGACTCTATTGCTATATTTGATTCAATTCTGGTTTGCAATATTTCTAAAAATAGAAATTTCTAAAAATAAAAAATTCTAAAAAAAAAAAGGCAACCCTACTTGGATAACAAAAGGTAATGGGAAAATTTAGTCTTGTAAATGTACTAAGGAAGGATATATAGAAAGCCCAAAAGAATTTCAAAACAAAGATTAGCTATCACAGGATGGAATAAGAGTAAACCATTAAAACTATCAAATTATAGCAAATATTAGGAAAAAAATATTAGGAAAAACCCCCTCAATATTTTAACTATATTGTTCCAGTGGACAAGAACACTTAAACAGAGAGATTCCATTTTTTATCATTGCTTTCTATATAATATGAACATCTTAAAATGCCTCAAGGTCAACAATATAATGTTAAATGCCTTTTCTCTCTTGGTTCATAGCTTTGATTATATATCAAGTGACCATATACTTACCTGTATGTACAAACATGTGCTTGACATAATTCTGTTTGGCTGTGAAAGTCTTGTTGCAGAGGGTACACTCATAAGGCTTTTTTTCACCCTGCCCACCTGCTGTGCTGTGGCCTACAGAAGGAGCCAGGGGTTGTGGGGCTGGCAGTTGGGCAGTAAAAGTTGAAAGCCCAGGCTGGGACACTGTCACAAATTGTGCCTGTTGGCCTAGGGGCTGGGGAAGGCTGAAAAGGAAAGGCTTAGGACCACTGCCAGCAGACTGGGTAGTAAAGAGTGCAGGCAAATAGGTATTGCCAGCTGTGCCGATGACCTGTGTGTTGCTGGTCAGGGTCAATGGCATCCTCAGGTTGCTGGTGAGGGTTTCTGTCTGGCGTAAGTAGAGCTGGGTACTTGGCAATGATTGGGCAACAGTTGTAGTGATAGGCTGTAAAGACCCCTTTTCAGTACTGTTACAAACAGTTATTAGTGCGCTATCCTTTTCAACGTCATTTCCTCTTTCGGGTGAAGAAGAGTTAGTATCTGTGTGCTGCTGCTGAATGCTTTCAGCAGAAACATCATTTTGTTCTGGTTGGGTAGGTTCTTGTTGACCTTCTCGACCTAGGCCAGTCACAAATTGCTGCTCCACAGAATCAGGCTCAGTGCCAATGGAGGAACTGACTCCAGAATCAAAACTTTCTCCCTTGGGCTCACTTTCAGCACCTTCTGCTTGATCAGTATCCTCAGTGCATTCTTCAGATTCATTGCGCTCTAGGATTTGCACTCTCTGCTGTCCATAGTAGTCATAATCATCCTCCATTTCTTGCTTGATGTGAATATTGCCCACTAAAGTTTGGATCCGAACTGGACGTGGTTGTTTCCTGCAGTGTGTGGTTTCTGGCGTGGTGGAAAGATACCGCTCCACCTGCTGTGAGCGCTCATGAATCCTTGTAATCCAGCTTGGATCTTCCATATGATGGTCTCTAGAAAGGCCTAGTGCTGTTTCATGGTGGCTGACCACTGCACCACTGTAGAATGAACGCTCACCACTGCCATTCTGCATAGAACATGCATACAAAGCTGAGTATATCCTGTCCACACTGTGCTGTGAGTGATTTTGCAGATAACCAGACTCTGTATCACTGCTCTGTCCTGAAGTAGCTGATTCAGGAGTTCCTCGTGGTGTCTCCTGTGCAGAATCCTGAATCAAAGGGTAGATGTCACCCACATTCTGTGAGACAATCCGTGTGCATTCATCAATCACAGTTTTAATCTGCAGGATGCTGGCTGCTGTAAGGATTTGCAGGGCCTCTGATTGTGAGACTCGCAATACTCCACTGTACATGAAGTCAATGAGCTTTTGTACTGATTGGACTGAAACCACAGAAGGAATTTCAATGTCACTGTAGCCCAGTAACAGCTTATCTTGGAAGAAGGGGCTGCCAGCCGCCAACACACAACGGTGGGCACGCAGCATGCTCCCGTGAATGCGAACTGTCACATCACAGAAGTGGCCACGGTTGCGTTGCTCGTTGAGGGTCTCGAGCACAGAATTGCTGAAATTGTGGAGGTTGATGCTGTGAATGCGCTCTGTCATCCCCCTGCAACTGTTGTTACCTGCCAAAGAAAAAGGCATAAAGATACATTGGTGTTTGAAATATGTATATGGATTTCCTACTCTTCTCAATAGATGTAAATTTGATGATGCTTTAATTCAGGAATTTGTGCTTAGCTTATTGAAAAACATATGCTTACTAATATTAAGTTTGGAGGCCTTTACCTCTCAAAGTGTGTCAAGAACCATCCTATCCCAAATTTCTTAAAAACATTTATATAAGAATTTTTGTTATCTTTTCTCTTCTCTTAAATAAAGAATGAAAAATGTGTAATTATATATTGTCTAAATAACAAAAGTACTTGTTATCAATATTAAAATAACTTTTAATGCTGATTTAAGTAATGCTTTGTTCCTTTCCCATTTTGATACCATATCAATGTAATCAGTAATAAAGAAATGGTTTCAGTACCTTTAAATAAATAGCATTATAGCTCGACAATACTTTAATCTAGCTAGATTGTTTAATAAATTGATTATCGGTTCCTACTGAAGCTCAATTAAACCCGGTTTCATATTTTTCATTAGCTTTAGCCTAGGATTCAAGATGACTTTATGCTTTAGAAAATGTATTACTGTTATATACATGCATTGTACAAACAATAAGAGTCACTTTGCAAAGAGTATTGGCATGAATGAGGCATCTGTCTTTAAGCACAAGGCGGTTTCAAAAGCTTTTTCAAGTTGCCAAGCCATGTATGTGCATGCAAATATCACTTCCATAAGGACCACCAATGAAGCAAAGTGGTTTGCATGGACATCATGTTGAGACAGTCAAGGATTTTTGAAGCTGCCATACATGTATTACTAAGAGTCTTTGTTTATTAATGTATTGGCATCTCTTTGAACATTTTGTCCAACCCAGGGTTAATATATAAGAAAGCTATATAAAGACAGAGTAATGAAGCTCAGATGTCAAAAGATAAAGCACTTGCTGAAGAAAAAAATAACACTTGAAATTAAAAAAAAAATAAAAAATCCAGCTCAGTGAGACACAAAAAGCATTAAGGTTTCTGTGTTTTTACATTATTTGAAAGGAGTATTATTTCTGATCAAAATGTTCAAAATTATTAACTGTCAATTAGCCCATGCCTGATAGCAAGAAAATGAACCAATAGTCTCAAAATTATAATTACAATATACAGATTCTTATTATTTTCATTGTCATCACAGAATAGAGTGCATGTATATGTGGAGGTATCTGACTCATTCTGTTCCCAGACCTGCCACTCTCATTTTAGTTAATACAGTGGGAAATGCTTCTGTGGAACTGAAGCAGCCTTTGTTAAACATTTTTTCTTCTGCCCAATGCATTTAGAAATCGTAAAGGACCTCACATGAGAAGCTACTGTAGAAGGGTTGGGAAAGCAGGTTGATTTAGAAATGGCACACAAATGAAAGAGTGTAAAAATGCAAAGGCTATTCTTATCCAAGCAGGCAATGAATGGGCAAGGAGCCTGAGGGAAAGACTGAGCTTAACACTGATTGTTCACATGTACTATTCTTGTTGAACTGTAGCAAGGCAAGAGATTTTATCCTGGGTTTAAGAGTCTGTAAAATGTTTTTGTTATTCTGTTCGAAGTATTAATAGTCTGGAATATGCATGTACTATACCACACTGAAGACAAATATCACAATATGCCAGATTCTTTATGCTAAAGAACTAGGACGTACTGAATTCTGAATGATGGAAGAGTTTATTGTACAGTTTGAATGAATGAGCATGAAACGTAACTCAAAGCTACACAGAATCTAGTAATTATAATTCCCAAACAGTTAAGGTTGTGGTTTCAGAAATTTGTTAAGACTGAATGCTGGATTTTGATAAACTGGAGTCTAGATAAAAAGCTTACTAGTACCCCTTCAGAAACTGACATTCTATGTTAGAAAGAAACTATAAGGCAAGATTACTTCTATCTAAAAGGTTTTTTTTAACCTGATGCTTTGCATATATTTGGGACTAAGATTCCCAGTAGAATTAGCCAGCTGCCATTGAGGTATGGTGGACATATATGGCTGCACATCTGGAAAGCTAGTTTCTGTTTGGTTATTCAAATATAAGGAATCACATGTGGTCTGCTTCTGCATTATTAACCTCCAGGAGTTAATAATAGTTAATAATAATAGCTAATAATAATCTCTCAAGCATCAAGCTTGAGAAATTCTTCATGGTGACTAAGGACCTTTTATTTTTTACAATACCTACTTTAGGTCAGATTTAACTGAATACATGTTTTATGAGAAGTCTACAAACAAACAGACTGAACACAGGTATGAATTAAAATTCAAGGCTATCCCATGCAGTAAGAGAAATGAAGTGCCTACATTGCCCTTTCTTACTCTGCTCTATTGATATACTATTATCAATATGCTGAGGATAACCAATTCTACATTAATGCAGGGTAGGCAGCCTGGATAGAAAGAAGCTGAAAGTAAACAAGATGGAGCTGCTATTTGCTCCTCAAGATTTAATGCTGGCTCTATTGTTATCTCCAAAAGAAGTAATATTTCTCTTTCAGGAGCAGATCTACAATTTGATAGTTCACCTGGACTAATGACTATTGCTGATTGGCAAGTGAAGTTTATGGAAAGGAAACCTTTATCCAGATTCATCTGGTATTATCAGTTATAGGCCTAGCCATCTTCAAAAAAGGAAAAAAAATGGACCCAGGAAATTACAGACCTATCAGCCTGACCTCAATACCTGGGAAGATTCTGGAAAAAATAATCAAACAATGAATCAGCGAACACCTACAGGCAAACAAAGTCATTACTAAAAGCCAACACGGGTTTGTCAAAAACAGATCATGCCAGACAAATCTTATCACATTCTTTGACCAAGTGACAAAATTAGTGGATCAGAGGAATGCTGTGGATATAATTTACTTGGACTTCAGTAAGGCATTTGATAAAGTAGATCACAACCTACTACCTGATAAGATAGAAAAATGTGGGTTAGACAGCATCACCACCAGATGGATCCATAGCTGGCTGATCAGCCGTACTCAGCGTGTGGTCCTCAATGGAACCACAACTACATGGAGACAAGTGTGTAGTAAGGTGCCCCAGAACTCTGTTCTGGGCCCAGTGCTCTTCAACATCTTCATCAATGATTTGGACAAGGGGATAGATGGGGAAATCATCCAATTTGCAGATGACAACAAGCTGGCAGGAATAGCCAACATTCCAGAAGACAGGCTTAGGATACAGGAGGATCTGGACAGACTTGAACACTGGGCGCTATCTAACAAAATGAAACTCAGTGGTGAAAAAAGTAAGGTTCTACATTTAGGCAAGAAAAACCTAATGTACAGGTATAGTATAGGGGTACCTTGCTCAATAGTAGTAACTGTGAGAGGGACCTTGGAGTCCTAGAGCCAGCAGGGTGCTTTTTATTGTATTTGTAAGTACAGTACTTTGTAAGATTGTTTGTTTGCATTTGCCTAAACTTATAGCATGTGGCTACTGCTGCTTCCTCTCCCTAGCACAGACCCACCAGAGATTCTGCTGACCCCTTACTGGAAGGAAATCCCCCCCTCCACCCCATTTTGGATTTTGCCTGGAAAGTCTTGTGCTGATCAGGGGCAGTGTTTTTTTTTAAAGGTTTTAAATTTAAAGAGCCGAGGTGGCGCAGCAATTAGAGTGCAGTACTGCAGGCCACTTTAGCTGACTGTGTTCAGCAGGTCAGTGGTTCAAATCTCACCGGCTCAAGGTTGACTCAGCCTTCCATCCTTCCGGGGTAGGTAAAATGAGGACCCAGATTGTTGGGGGCAATGTAAATATATATATACATTGCTTACTGGTGTACACCGCTTAGAGAGTGCTTGCACTTAAAACGGTATATAAGTCTCATAAATAAATAAATAAATAAATAAATAAATAAATAAATAAATTTAAATTGCCTGCAGAAGTTGTGGGTATTCCTTCACTGGAGGCTTTTAAAAAGAGACCGGATAGGCATTTATCAGAAATACAGTATAGTACTGTACTCTCTTGGGAGAGTAGTGGGTTAGACTAAATAATCTCAAGGTCTCTTCCATCTCAGTTACTGTTGCAAGCCAACTGTTCTGTAAACTCCAACCCCATCTCCCTCTGCATGCATGCCTGGAGATGCTTAAGCTAAAGCTACTTACTTTATTGGCAACTGCAATCGGAGAGTTCTCCACCCCCACTCTGAAGAAGCTTGAGCTGCCTAGCAACAAATGGTTTTGGGGTTTTTTTTTTTTAAAGCTTGCTGCCTGCTTGGGAGGCAATTTACAATACTGTAGTTCCTGAAACCTGAAACAGCTGATTGGTGGCCAGAAACAGCCTGCAGCAGTGGCTGGAAAAGTCTTTCAGTTCAGGAAGCCATCGGAGGAAATAATAAGTCAAATTCATTCATTTAACAACCTATTTGATTCAATTAATGAGTTTGATTTTAAAATGAAATATTGAGTCTGATTCATTTGACAATTACAAGCATAATGGGCAGGCTCTCTTAGGCTCATACCTCGGGGACTACCTGTATCTCTTGGCCTGGGATTTTTCAGGACTGCTTCCGGTAATCAACCATTTAATATGAAAATCTCAAGGGAAAAAAAATGCTTGTGATTCCCCACCTCCAGGAATCATGGGGATGAGAGCAGGAGAAAGTATATCTCTGTCATAGCTCTTATACCAAGTTAGCTTTCCTTCAGAATGTTGGATTTGATAATTGATGATCTTCTAGAAGAGTTGAATTCTTTTAACTTTAAATATGAAAAGATGCATCATACAATGTTTTCATATATTGCTTCAATTTATAATTGAATGTTTGATTTGTCTGACTTCTAAATTGCTTTTACTATGGATGCTTTATTGTTGTGCCATGGATATTTTATGGGATTTTTTTAATGTTTTGCTGAGGGTCTTACAATTGCAGCAGTGTAGAAATCAAATAAATAAATGTCAGGCCCTTTTAGTTTTCTGTCAGCAGGAAATCTGTATTTTTTCCCTAACAGCTGTTTGCAGGATTTCTACAGCA